TTCTAACAATAGCTATTTCTGTCATAAATCAGCACTTAAAAGAGCAAAAATTTTCGGAGCTTGAATTGATTTGCAAACGAACATTGAAAGATGTTGAAGATATCATTATCAAATAACACCTTGGCAAAGAGAATGATGATAAAATTTTCATGCATTAATCAATGTTGATTGATATGAATGCAGTCCGGATATATGTCATCACTGAGCTGCGTTTCATTGAGTATATCCATCTTATTCAAATGATTATGGTCGCTGTATATGAATGCTTGTTTCCAGCTCCGGAATGAAGGTATCACAAGGCTTTATCGAGGTTTATTACCACCGTTAATAATGCGAACAACAACTCGCTCACTTATGTTTGGTACGTTTGATAAACTACAAAATGCTTTCGGATGTTATCAGACGTCACCATATGGAGCATTCTCACTTTGCCATGCGGCTGCGGGATTCCTTGGTTTGTTTTTGTTATTCCACTTAAATTTGGACTCATTGTTTTGCTCGACGAGATTTATTTGCGTAATGCGAGTTCTATTCGTGTGTGCATATTTGGGGCTTGAATCGATATATGTCTCGGCACTTAAAAGAGCAAAAATTAATCAATTCAAGTCGGAACATTGAGTTGTCAGTAGTCGTGAATACCGCCGGAATTTTGAACTATACAATTCAGATCCCAAATAGACTGATTCTCTCAGTTCCGTTTTTGTTTACAAAATTCTTGATCTTCTTTTCATTCCCCTTTATCTTGCCATGAATCATCTGTTCCTTTTCAAAAGCCACACTGCTGTTTTGTATAACTTATATCGTGAGAATAGCAGCATTCCATTCGTTATTGCAATAATACAATAACGCTAAATAATGCAATGTGAAATGCAATAACGCTAAACAGTATTGTTTAGCGTTATTGCATTTGTTTTTGGTTGATGGTTGGGTNAACATTGAAGATGATGTTACTTCAATACGGCATGTTGATGGAAATGTTCTATGAAAGGAGTATTCATCAGTCATCAAACAAAAATCATGCACTCCATCAATTCAGCCATGAAAAACATTATGTGTTAAAAGTGTGATTATAGCTGGATCTATCGAAGCAACGTTGTGTCCATTGGAAAGGATTCAAGTTTTGTTGCAAACGACTCGTTATCTTGAACGTTATCGTAACACTGCACATGCACTCGTTGAAGTTGCTAAGGTATATTTCATTCCGTTCAATTTATCACTCAACTTTCATCAGTATTTGATTAAACAAAGAGAATGTTATTAAGCGTCTAATAAAATGTCTGATTCCTTGCAGTCGTTTCTTTTAAAAAAATGTTCGGTAGGAAATAATCAATCGAAGATTGTAAGAAGTAAATAACAGCTGCATTCATCCTGTTCTTTATGCTGTTCTTGATAAGCAAATACCGTCACACCCGACAAATCAACGCTCGAAAATGAGCGAACTATTTAAAAAATAGTTTGTTTTCTTCATATGTTAAATTGATGATTGGTAGTGATCTACAGTGTGACTGTTTGCAGTTAGGTCCTCGAGAGCTGTATCGCGGTCTTTCAGTAGTTTTAATCAGGAATGGATTTAGCAATTCACTTTTCTTCACACTCAGGGGTCCGTTACGAACTCAGATTTTCGAACTGCATGAGAACTCAAATATTAAATCAATTAAAAGGTTATCCATTTTGCTTTCTTTGCATCCATTGATAGTTACGTCGGTATCGATGAGTACCGGCTTTTTTGTGAAAGATTCAATGACAACGAAATTGTAAAAGAAACCATTTGCCTCGAGTAGTCATACTTGTATTCCATTCACAGAAAATGAATCTATATTA